TGTACGGGGCAAAGTCAAAAATTATCCGCATATACCGTTATATATATATATATATATATATATATATATTGGTTTGGTGTATAATTATCAGGCGTTTTTCCAGGTGAGTTTTTGTTAATAAAAATTGCTGTTTTGTTTACATTTTTCGAATTAAAATATTTTGTTTTCAAGGTTATAAAAATGTGTGTCTATAATCATGCTCATTTAAAGTTGTTATTTTTGGATTGTTCTGTTTCATATTTCAAAATAAATATTGTTTAAAAACGCCTGATAATTATGTACCAACTCAATATATATATATATATATATATATATATATATATATATATATATATATATAGTTTTAAGATGTGCTATATTTATGGGATAAAGTGCTCAATATCAGAGATAAAGCGTATGTAAATATAAAAGTGAACGTGGAAGCCAACACTCGGAGGCAACAGGCAGTTTCTTGCTAAACGCAATCGTCAGGCCGCCTGACGATGGCGTCCAGCATGAAACAGCCTATCGCCTCTGAGTGTTGACTTCAATGTTCACCTTTTATATTATATATACACACACACACACATACTTATATATATATATACACACACACACAAAGTGCGGATAATTTTTGAAGTTACTTATCTTCAGAACAAAAATGTTCAATATTAAGAGCTGGCGCATTAATAAAAATTAATGTTTTCCTTATTTCTACTTTGAGTTCCGTATAAATTGCATTCTCTCATCAAGATTACTTCTTCTTCTTCTTCTTCTTCTTCTTCTTCTTCTTCTTCTTCTTCTGCGTGCCTCGGTGTTTCAGGACATGGCTGATCATGGCTCTCCAATATTTTCTATCAATTTCTCTCTTTACTAAGGCTCCCCTGCTCCCAGTTGTGACATTCATTCAAATAAAGTCGTCAGGTAGGAAGCTTGCTACCTTCACCCTAAATCACTTGCCCTCAATATGCCCAGTGAGGATTAAGTTTTCCAAGCCTTCCATCCGCATTACGTGTCCAAGCAATTTCAGTTGACTTTCTAATTCCGATTATATTTTGGTTTCATTTTCTTTAAGTTTTCCTTGTTGCTCACTCACTCCGACCATGGAATTCTCAACATCCTTCTGTAGAACACCATTTCTGTTATCTCCAGTTTAGTTCATTGTAAAATCCTACATTTTTAAATCAACTCTTCTGATGCAACTGATTTAAAATAATACATTCTTTAGAAATTGCCTCATCCACGCACACAACACACACACACACACACACACACACATATATATATATATATATATATATATATATATATATATATATATATATATATAAGGCTCAGACACTAATATTTCATGATTATAATTTATTACCTTGGAATCGTAATCACGACCAAATAACTATGATGTATTAGTGTTGGAGCCATGTATATTATATTCTTGTTTTGTCTTTGACATAGACATCTACCTTGGAAATATATATATTGACCACTAATATTTAAACGTGCTCCTAGGTTGGCATTTCGGTTCCACCCTTTTACTGTCGAACAAGTTAAACGTAATCGCCTCTTCTACTCCAACAGCTTCTTCTCTCACACTTCACAACAGTAGAATTCCCTTCCTCTTACTTGCTTTCCTAATAAGAATAATCTTCAAAAATTTAAATGTAATGTCAATCGACATCATCTGATGCCTTGATCTTGATACCCGTCCTTCTCTTTATCCTTTCCTAAAACACCCCTCCTCTTTAATCTTACTTTTACTCTCTGTAACTCCTTGCTTGCTAGTGGGACTCCCGCCTTGCTTGGGGTGAAATGCTTAAAAAATAAGTCGAGGTAGAAGTAAATTGTAAAATGAGGCACTTTATTGAAGTTACAATAACATTCGCCCATTTTCTGTGGCCTGACTTTTAGACACCTATTACTGTAAATGCATTGTTTCCTTCCATTTAAAAAAAAAAACAACAACTAATACTAAAAGCATTTAAGTGGATTCTTTGCAGATAACATTAACATAATAGGCAAGTGGAAATGATTTTCTTCTTTTATTATAGTAAAAGCTTAAAGGTAATATTAACCTATAAATGCACACCGTCGTTTTTTTTTTCTTTTTGGATTGGTAGGTATTTATGGGTGACAGGTAAAAACCTATAATTAAGATAGTATTTTATATAAAAATATATAATTAATATGTTTTTTTTAGAATAAACGAAAACTAATATCGATTTTTATTTTTATAATTAATTTCAGACTTTAAGGTATGTATTAATAGATTAGCACGTCAAAAGTTTTATTCGCTCTGGTCATTGCATCGATATTGTCGAGGGGAAACGGAAAGCCAATATAGAAATACCAGGTGGGCCAGAAAATTCTGTCTCACTTCGGAATCGGACAAAAAACATTAAATCTTGGCTCTCTGTCTGGTGGAATTTCCAAAAAGTACTGCATTTCGAGCTTGTTCAATACGGTCGCGCCATCAATACCAGTAGCTAAACGACGTGATTTTTTAAAAGCATTTCACCCCAAGCAAGGCGAGAATGCCACTACCACGCAAGGGGGTTACAGAGAGTGAGAGCAAGAATAAAGAGTTTGAGGAAATGATATAGAGAAGGACGGGGGCCGGGATCACGACATCAGAAGGTGTCGATTGACATTCCATTAGAATATTTGAATATTATAGCGATCAGGGAAGCAATTAAGAGGAAGGGAATTCCACTGACAGGAAGTGCGAGAGACAGAGTGAAAGGTTGGGACCGAGATGCCAACCTAGTAGCACGCTTAAATTGTAGAAAAGATAGAGGGAAGCCACATGACGTCTGTGAAAAAGTGACTGGAGTCGAGATGCCAGATCAGGACCTATTATGTTGCATATCCGTTTTGTCGAGAAGTTCGAGATGAACAGTGGGAGCAACAGGCCATATATGGCAACAGTATTGCGCGTGTTATTTTTAAACCTTTCACCTTTGATGTTGATTCTCTTCAATCCGGAAATATAATTTTGTTACGGTTCAAATCCCCAGGGTGTTTTATTTATTTAGTCTTTTGTGTGTGTGGAGGGGGAAATATTGACTGATAATGAAAGTAAGAATTTTGATTTTGATTTTTTAAAAAAAAATGTTGGAAAATACATTATTCAACAGAGCTGTAAAGAAAATAAAAGAAAAGAAAAGGAAAGAAAGGAAAGGAAGATGAAGTCGTTATGTTTTAGGATAAACTGAGGAAGACATGAGACCATGTGTAGGGAAAAAGACTGTGTAGTGTTAGGCTTTCAAGTTAGCTTTAAGAATTTGATACACAGCTGTAGGAAAACTACTCCGTGACTTGGCGCCAAATTTATCAACATTCGTTCATATCTATCTATCTATCTATATATATATATATATATATATATATATATATATATATATATATATCAGTCTGTTCATTATCTATCTATCTATCTATCTATCTATATATATATATATATATATATATATATATATATATATATATATATATATATCGCAGTCTTTTCATTATCAATCTTTGTTCATTGTCTATCTATCTATCTATCTATCTATCTATATATATATATATATATATATATATATATATATATACATATGTGATAGATATTGATGAAATAGATAGATAATGAACATACTATATATATATATATATATATATATATATATATATATATATATATATATATGTTATTATCTATGTCTGTCAATATCTATCTAATACTAATACATATATATATATATATATATATATATTCTAATACTAAATATATATATATATATATATATATAATATATATATATATATATATATATATATATATATATATATATATATATATTAGTATATTCATTATCTATCTATGTCTGTCAATATCTATCTACTTATCTATCTCGATATATATACATGAGTTCATTATCTATCTATTTATTCCAGCCTGTTCTGTTTGGCAGAACGGGGATTAGGAGAGATAGCAAAATGATCTCCTATGTCCTGAAGGGACACAACTCGTAGAAAAAAGATGAATCTGCAAGAACGAGACCTTGATACTATAGCCATTTACCTTAAGTTACATTCTTTTATATGCGAGGAGAGTGAATCAGGCCACCATTATATGTATCATCCAAATAATAATACAAATCCCTGAATTTTTTGCATGAATTTTAACCCCTACAGTAAAAAGTGTATAATGTAACCGGTCACCGAAAAGACGTGTTTTTAACCTCTTCAAAGAATTACCTGTGTATAGTGCGCCCCCTTATTTTTATTTTTATTTTTTTTATAAGAAATTGCTACTTCCAGAAAAAGTGTTCGGACGAACTGCATTCCTTGGTTTCTCTCGTTCTAATCTTTACGGCTAGGACCCGCCATGGCACTCATATTGTAGAACCCCCCCCCGTCCCCACTCCATTCGTATTCCATCGGTAAGCTCCAGTCGAATAGCTTCATCCCGTGCAGCACTGCTCCGTGGAACCGACTCTCAAGAGGATGTTTCTCCGATCACTGCAATCCTTACCTGCTCAAGGTTAGGGTTAACCGTTACACCCACTCTCCTATGCGCACAAATGACCTCCTAACGTAACCCCTCTACCTCGGGTGGCTCACAGGCCTTGTATATGGTGAACCTCACTATCATACAAACTCGCACTGTACACAAGTATATGCAGTGTATCCAATCTTGCGACTGAAAGTAGAAGTATTTTAAATTTGAATTTTTTATAATTTTTTTATTTATTTTTTTATATTTTAAATATTCGGTTAGTTATTTTTTGCCTTGAGTTCACTTGCAACGAGCAATCTCCTTTTCTCCCACGATTCTCCCCACCTCCATCTTCTTGCCAGGAACCTCTGTGTCTGTCAGGAATACGTATTTGTAAAATCATGTCATGTGTGTGTATTTGCATTGGTTTGAAAAAGGCTAACGTGTACGTGTGTGTGTGTGTGTGTGTGTGAAAAAGCTAGTTTTTTATCACACGTAGATATTTTACGGTTTTATTAATACGAACTTTGTTGGCGATACAATGTTTGTTCACCGGAGCAAAACCCCAGCCAACCTCAGAAAGCCAACCTTACCCGCCCGACGGGTAAGGTTGGAATGAGGACGGGTGGGGGCCAGTTAGAGAAACTCTGGCATTAATATCGAATACTTACACACACAAACACACACAATTACATACACCCACAAAACACGCATCACATGCCCACTCGCACGTAAATACCACGCTTTGGGGTTGAGGTAGTCACGTATTTCCCAGCAATGCAAGAGGCTAGAGGCTGGCGTTCCAACTTGGAATTGGCGGTGCACAATCTTCTTATCGCCATTTTCTTCTTATTTAGCATACAAAGTAAATCTTATTAAATTTGATACGCCACTTCTAACCTTATTCGTTTTGCTACCCACGGTTTCAATTAACCGCGTTTGACCCTTAAACTTAATTTATAAGTTAAACCTATTGATGACCCACAAAGACATGCCATAAAATGATTCCATTAACTGAACACATGAAAGCTCTCGACTTAATAAGCGTAAGACGATAAACTACATCCGACAGCAAGGCCTCTGATCAGCAGGTTTTGAGGAGCATGGAACCGTCTCTTAATTGCTGGTGTTCCCAGGTCCACTCTGACCCGGGGTGGTAGCACCTGTTAGGGTCCCAGCTATGGGCAAATAGTTAAAACACAAACTTGGGTCAAAGTACTATGAAAGTGTAAAAATAGGTTTTAATAATAGGTTTTTGAAGGAAAAATTATTACATTTTTGAGGAAAAACATTTTACCAGCAATACATTTTTGTTGGCATTAAATCACCCATATGCCGTAAAACAAACCAAACCAAACCAAATCTGATGATACAAACTAGTAACAACTGGCTTAATAGTAAGTGGTAACTGATATAAAAAATGACCCTATAATCTGAGTTAAAGGATAATTTCAATATTGTCTCAATTGCTGAGATGAGTTACTGTAACTATTTACATTATTCGAACTATTGTTGCCCTAACTTTTATTATCATATCCATGACGTTTCGGTCGTTGTACGCCCCGGCCTTCTTCAGGTAATATACGTTGGAATTTCGGACCGAACCCTTTATTTAGTCCACGTGGGTAGAGTGTTCTAGTTCCACGTGCCATGTCTTTTCTGGATATCTCAGCTTCAGTTATTTCCCTTTAGCAACTCAACACTCCACGTTTTGTTCACCTTTGCTGTGGCCGGGTACTGAACTCCCAACTCCTTGAGTCAAGTCACATGATTACTTCATTCAATGCTTTTATCCACTGGACCATGTGTTCCCAAGGGGGTAAGGAATGACTTCAAGATTTGTTTATATTTCTGAGATCCTTGAACAATGTTAATAGTGTAAAAAAAAATGACTTGGTAATTGTAACGCTTCCAAAAGGAAACTGCTCTCTATCCATCATTTGAGGAGACTCCTTTCTGCCTTCCATCAGCACGGCTGATGCTAACCTCCAGGTGAGTGACTCGCTACGCTTTCTCGGACTAACAAAGTACTAGGAAAGTTGTTTCAATGTGTCGCCCTAGACAATTTTCAATCTTACATATTTATAAGTGATATCACACACTACGATATGGACAAAGTCCGACAATTATTTTAAGATATTTTATTGTTATACGTGATTTATATAGACACAAATATTTAAGTAACTGATCTGTTTATAATAAACAGTATTAACAACATTTTACCGGACTGGACGTTGGATAAATTTTTACAGAAAATATGTGTCCTTCGACAGAAATCGAACCTGTATCCTACACGAAGCCGTCATATAGCCTGACGTGCTATAACAGTTTAGCTACAGAGGAACTAAACTGGTATATTTGTGTCTATATAAATAACGTATAACAATAAAATATCTGAAAATATTTATAAGTCTAACATTCGTCCTTGCTTTGAATATTGCTGCTAAATCTTGTCTCGTGCTCTTGTTATATATTTGGAGATTGGTGAAAAATTCAAAGAAGCATCTGCAATTTTATTGGTCCTGACCTCGCATTTCGGCTTCAGTCACTTTCTTACCGTTAAAACATAACTCCCCTGTGCCTTTTCTATTAATACTTTCATGGTAATTGTTCGAATGAACTTTTCGCTAGGATACCTACACTTTATGAATTTAATCGCAGTACTAGATTGGCGGAAAGGTCTCATCATTTTAAAGTTTAAATGGCTAGATGCAACCATAAGTTCTATACTAACAGTTTCTTCTCTCGCACGTTTCACCTGTGAAATTCTTTTCCGGCTTTGAGCTTCCTAGTTAACTTTGACCTTCAAAAATGTAAATGCAAAGTCAATAGTTATCGTCTGTCTTCTTGATTCTTGTTCTTTTATCATTCTCTCTCCTTTATTGTCTTGTCTGGGGTGAAATGATTAAAAAAACAACCCTTGGGCTATGTCGGTACCTATATGGGTGACCACTTGGCAATACAAGATGCGGTAAGCTTCTTTGTGCGTGTGTGGTAATGGAGAGCCTGGAACACCTGGAAAACATTTTATAGGTTTTACTTAATAGTAGTTGAGAACTGGTGCTGCCAATTCAGATATGCGAAACAACAACGATTAATTGCTTCCTTTAAGTGAAAAGCTTTGACTTAAGGAAAGAAAAAATAGTTAGTTATAAGGTTATTAAGACGTACACTTTAACCAATCATCAATCTGCTCCATGACCTTTAGAACGGTATATTGTTATAACTGTACTTTTTTAACTACCGTATTTGACGGCATATAAGACGCATGGGTATATAAGACGCACACCAATTTCAGCAGGACAAATCAAGAAAAAATTAGTAATTAGTAATTAGTACAGTCTAGGATATATTTATGACGTCTTATTTTGTTTAAACAAGCCATGATTATAATTAAACAAAAAATAATATGAAAAAAAGAACACGAGCCTATAAAAACTTTATTATATCCAAATGTAACAAAACAAAATAAAAATCAAGCCATTATTACAATTAAGCAAAACAGTACAGTTACCAGTAAAATTCAGTCAAAATTTTTCTTTGATATGATCTGTACAACCTGCATCTTGTAAACGTCTTATTGGGATAATTAGGATATAAAAATTCTGATTGTATTTATACAAATGCAACTGGAAGTTATCGCAAGAAAAATATTAATGAAACAAATATATTTTACAAATATATAATTTTGAATTTATTGCATATAATTTTAGTGAAACAAAGTACTAATATTAAAAGTGATGAAATTAACATGAATATTATCAATGATAACAATTTTAATCTGCATAATAGCCTTTTAAATAATGACAATAGGTATATGAAAGTTACTCTAAAGTCTAAGCTAATAAGATTTGCTAGGTAGCTAATTTCGGCCGACTATCGCGAATTTTAGACCTACATATGGCGTATAAGACGCAGGGGAATTTTAAAAGATATTTTTAGTAAAAAAAGTGCGTCTTATATGCCGTCAAATGCGGTAATTATTATTGTCAATCTCTCACTCTGTTTAATTTATGCACTAATCATCCTCCTCCACAGTTCCATGATCGTATGTGGTCATAGGGTGTATGCTCAGCGGAGCGCCTGTCCAGTTCCTACCACATAACTGAATTAAACGCAGGAGAGGCATTCTTCCATGCGCAGCGCGTCTTAGCGAGTTAGACGTAGCTGAGCTCATCCTTCGTCAGGTCAAACCACAGAAGATGTCCTGCAATTTCGTCTTAGTCATGGACAAGGGACGAGGAAGAGGAAGACACCCACTCCCGTCCTGGACTTCAGTCTAGAACGCTCTCCGCCCAGCGATGATCTGTCATAACCTCACTAGCTGCAAACATAGCTGCATGTCCGTTGACCCCACCAGAAACAGCGTGGGAATCATTTTAATCACCGATGACCTGACCACACGACATGTGTTGCATGGTACCTTGTTTCACACCTACCTTTTTATGTACTAAACATTATTACATATGTGTACTTCTTAGAACATACTAGTTTACGAGGAGTTTCTGAAAAGTTATCAGCCCAATCAACTTCTGAAACCTAACGAAATCACAAAATACTGAAATATTTTTGAATGGGCTTCCTGGTTTGCTCGTGAACTTTTCTTTGCTCACAGGCATCAATTGGGTGTACTGGAAAATATGCTCCGCAGATAAGAGGAGATTTAATTATTAGTATAACATAATAATTATATATCAGCGGTTTTTGATTCTTCCCTCAGGTGGTCAATACCGCAGGAGACGAGGGTTCTTTTAGGAAATCCTTATATCTCTTTTGTGATTCCTTTTAATTGCCTTGAACAAATGGTAGCTTGCCAAGTGCTAGGGTCTTTGAAGTCGAGATTTGCATATTTGTTACATAGCTTACCTAGCGTAGCTGGTTTTTCTTTTTTGTGGTAAGCTTTAAGATGGCGCAATTAATCCATAATCTCAATATTTCATTTACAATCAAGATTCGTGTTTTGTAAATTTTAGGAAGAGAATTAAAAAGTCTGGGGTCTTTTATTTTTATCATCCCCCACCAAGACATTGAGACACAATGGGATACTGGGAGTGGAAGAGAATGGAAAACACTTTTATGAGGAACAAGGACAATAAAAGAACAGTTATTCAGAAAGACGGAATATGGAGATTGACGTTGCATTTAAAATTTGGGGAGGGAAGCAAAAAATCGGAAAGGTGTTCTATAAGCGAGAAGTTTGAGAAAAGAAACTATTAGAAAAGAAATATAAAAGAAGATCCGAGCTAATTCAACAGGAAATCAATGAAACCTCGAAGCCAATCTAGTAGTGCGCTTGTATTTATGCTGTCAAGGTACAAAATGAGAGAGTGCATTAGAGCAACTGTCATAAAAAATAAAGAGAAAAGACAGAGAGAGGCCACGCCACAGCAGTGGAAAAGGAAGTTGAGATGTCAGAAACGATAGCATTAACAGACAACTCTTTGAATTTCTTTCGAGAATTTCAAGATATATAACAGGAACACCGGATCAGATATGGCAGCAATAGGCACGGATGACTGACAGATTTCTAAACGCGCAAGATGGATTCTGGCGAAAGAAATTGTCTGGCCCGACACGGTGAAACAACATTCATATGAATTCCTGTAGCCGACAGACCACGGAAACTAATTCTATAAGGTGCCTTCGCATTCCTACGCGGATAAGGTGCCTTTCCACTCCTACGCGGATAAGGTGCCTTAACACTCCTACGCTGATAAGGTGCCTTCCCACTCCTGCGCGGATAAGGTGCCTTCCCACTCCTACGTGGATAAGGTGCCTTCCCACTCCTGTGCGGATAAGGTGCCTTCCCACTCCTAGGCGGATAAGGTGCCTTTCCACTCCTACGCGGATAAGGTGCCTTAACACTCCTATGTTGATAAGGTGCCTTCCCACTCCTACGCTGATAAGGTGCCTTCCCAATCCTACGTGGATAAGGTGCCTTCCCACTCCTACGTGGGTAAGGTGCCTTAACACTCCTACGCTGATAAGGTGCCTTTCCACTCTTACGCGGACAAGGTGCCTTCCCACTCCTACGCGGATAAGGTGCCTTAACACTCCTATACTGATAAGGTGCCTTTCTACTCCTACGTGGATAAGGTGCCTTCCCACTCCTACGCTGATAAGGTGCCTTCCCACTCTTACGCGGATAAGGTGCCTTCCCACTGCGACGCGGATAAGGTGCCTTATCACTCCTACGCGGATAAGGTGCCTTAACAATCCTACGTTGATAAGGTGCCTTCCCACTCCTACGTGGATAAGGTGCCTTTCCACTCCTACGTGGATAAGGTGCCTTCCCACTCCTACGCGGGTAAGGTTGCCTTCCCACTTCTACGCGGATAAGGTGCCTTAACACTCCTACACTGATAAGGTGCATTCCCACTCCTACGCGGATAAGGTGCCTTCCCACTCCTGCGCGGATAAGGTGCCATCCCACTCCTACGCGGATAAGGTGCCTTTCCACTCCTACGTGGATAAGGTGCCTTCCCACTCCTACGCTGATAAGGTGCCGTCCCAATCCTACGCTGATAAGGTGTCTTCCCACTCCTACGTGGATAAGGTGCCTTTCCACTCTTACGCTGATATGTCGAGGTTCGAATCTGCCTTATTTTTAATTTACGATTCGCGCTGTTTATTTAACAATCGTAGCATGACGATCTGCGAGTTGTGATGAAAATTTGCAGAAATAAGATGAAAGAAATACTAGCCACGAATTAATATCCATTGAAAATGCTTTATCCAACAAATCAAATAAAAAGAGAAGGGATGAATGAAGGTAGCTCCTAAAAACGATGAATAGCACACACACACACACACACACACACACACACACACACATATATATATATATATATATATATATAAGGTGGTACTAAAATGTTCTCCGTTCGAACCCAAGATATTATTTTTATTCAGATTTGGAAAGTCGGTCGGGTTGAGAATTTACATGACCTTTTTGGACATTTCTGTTTATCTGAAAACTCTCCAAACCACCCTTTTCGCTATGAGCTTTCTTCCGCCTGCTGACACTGGGGTTGTTTTTTAATCATTTCACCCCAGACAAGGCAATGAAGGAGAGAGAATGAATATATATAAATGGTGGTACTCGTTTGGAAAAACCTCGGATAGCTCAACATTGCAGTAGAACAAATTGGTGCCCGAGGAAAAATGGGGAATAAAAAAAAGAAAGAACCAAGAACATTAAAACAAGGCACGTGACAAAAAAAACTATTCTAATGACCAGCTTTTCCTAAGAATTTCCGATTTTTGCTTCAATAATTTTTAGGTTCCTTGTAGTTAGCGATAGCGAGTTTTTCCTCCATACATAGATAACAGAACTTATCACCTGCCTTATATTTATAAGATTTTTTTAATATTTCCTATTTCAAAACGGGGTCATTATTATCTTCTTGTTTGATCTTATGTTCACTTCTATAAGCATATATATATATATATATATATATATATATATATATATATATATATATATATATATATATATATATATATATATATATATATATATATATATATATATATATATATATATATATATATATATATATATATATATATATATATATATATATATATATATATATATTAAGTGAATACTGAAGTCAACACTGAGAAGCGACAGGCTGTTTTATACTAAACGCAATCATCAGGCCATCATCAGGCTGTGTTGACTATTTATACATACTAGTCAGTAATACATTGTGTATTCTCATAACCGTTACAATAGACCACCCCCAATGTAACAGACTACCCGAAATGCACCATTGAGTCGTATATATAAATAGTCAAGGAAAAAACTGTCTGTCGCCTCTAAGTGATAACTTCAATGTGCCGTTTTATATTTACATACGTTCTATCTCAGATATTGAGCACTTTATCCCATAAATATAGCATACCTTAAAACTATATTTCTTCATATATATATATATATATATAATCCCCTACTGACGCCAATTCAGTCGGGTTTTGATCCTAGCTAGAGCCAACCGGACGTCTAGCCACACTGATGAGCTGTGATACAAGCGAAACAGTCTGTCTGTGGATGACAATATATATATATATATATATATATATATATATATATATGTGTGTGTGTGTGTGTGTGTATTTAAATATAAATATAAATATATATATATATATATAATTATTTATATATTATATGCGCAGTACTTATTAGAAAGCGCTAGAGATAGAGCTAACATATTTGGTTGGATTGACATCAATCCAACCATATATATATATATATATATATATATATATATATATATATATATATATATATATATATATATATAAAGATTGGAATCGTAATCACAATCCAATTCATCAGACCTACAAATTCAAAAAGGTCTGATGAATTGGTGATTATGATTCAATGTAATAAATTATAACCATGGAATATTAGTGTTTGAGCCTTTTATATTATATTCTTAATCTGTCCTGGACATTGAGTTCTCCCTAGATTCTATCCTCTTGGGAATTTATATATATATATATATATATATATATATATATATATATATATATATTAAAGAAAAACTCAAACTCTTGGTGGAACCAACGAATGATTTGGCAAAGGAGCTAAATACCAAAATAAAAACTCAAACAGCCACAAGAAAAAAGAAAAAGACCTAAAGGTAAACACCTATCTGCCTTGTGCCATATCTAAACTACGCTTAGGAAATCATTTCGGAGACATCAACGTGGTGTAATGATTATCAAGCCTGTCTTGCTCGATTAATTAAAACTGATTAGTGAGTTAGATCCTCACTGGGTGTCTCATACTTTCGGTCTTGCACCACAACTACGCTACGCTTAGTAAATCGCTAATACAAACTCGTTTCTGCCTTTAGTAATTAGGTTATTATGAAGTCATCATGTACATTTAAAAACCACGTCCTTTTCTTTTCAATGATACCTCAACAAATTATTAGGTGTGCGTACAGATTTCCAGCATTTTTAACAGATAAAAACAGCTTTTCAAGTGTATATTTATAGTCATCAAAAACTACCTGTGATTTTGTTTGCAATTTCAACTACAGCCTCGAAATGGTGTCCATTTAACTTTAATTTACTTTGGGAAACACGGCCAAGATAGAAAGGAATTTTTTTTTTTTCACCTTTCTTGGTGTTTTGCTAATGACTGCAGATCCTGAACACTCGCCACCTCAAACAAAAGCCGCTTTACCAAACTTTGAAAAGCGTGTGCCAAGCGTAAAACCAAGTTTCGGTCGAAAACCTGGCGAAGAAGCATTTCGAGGTCTCGGTAAGTCATTTGAAGATTTGCATGCAAATCCTGATATAGGCACGTCGCTCTAATTTCTAAGCCATCGTAAAGATCTCAGAGTCGTTCCACAAAGATATTGCAAAATCTCATACAAAAATTGAAAAGTAGCTAGAGCCCAAACTATTAAGAGATTGATTCAGTAGGCTGGCTACTAATGTGTCTTTACTATGCGCATCCCCATTGAAGGTCATAGATATTGGTAAATCTATCACAAAACTGGCAGTCAATTTTAAAATAAACTATTATTTCGGAAAGTGAAAATTTCAGTGATGTTTTCGACTGAAGTCAAAAAAGAGATGTCTCGGGGATTTTATCATACAAGCAAATTTGATCTCAAGGCTTATCTTGAACATGTGTTAGATAATCCATTGTTTTATTAATTTTTGACGTACTTCTTTCATTTTAATTCCCAATTATAATTGCATTATTTTATTATATTATTAAGATGCGCTTGGAAAATCACTTTGGGCACTCCGAGGTGGTATAATAGTTAACAAGCTTGTCTCGCTAGAACAATTACGATAGAATAGTGAGTTCGATCATCACTGGGTGCCCTCTATACTTTCGGCCCTGTGCTACATCTAACCTACGCTTGGAGAATTACTTTGGGCACTCCGAGGCGGTGTAATGGTTAACAAGCTTGTCTGGCTAGAACAATTACGACTGAATAGTGAGTTCGATCCTCACTCTGTGCCCCATACTTTCAGCCTTGAGACACATCTAAGCCGCGCTTAGAAAATCATTGTATCTTGGGAAACTCGAGGCGGTGTAATGGTTAGCGAACTTGTCTGGCTAGAACAATTACGACTGAATAGTGAGTTTGATCCTCACTGGGAGCCGCCTAATTTTCGGCTTGGGAAATCGCTATAATTCCATCATTTACAGTATTTATAGTATTATCAGTACAACTTCGGCATCCTTTGTCCGAAATTCCCAAATCAGAAAACCACTAAAATCCGAAAGTTTTTCAGTTGCCGATATCACTTGCCGCAAATGGAAAAAATTCAGAAAACAACATGGCTACCGATAGCATGATTATTGCGCTGAAGCGTTACAAATAAAATGGTGACTTTTTTCTGGAACATTTTAATCAAAACACGACATCGTTGGTAGAGACTGATAGCTTTTCCTTCTCACCGTCACTGTGATATTACCGATGATGTAGCCTCTTCCTCCAGTTTTGCACACCTGATGTAGAAATAGTGTTTGGTGTTGCAATTGTTTGTTGTTAATTATGATCTTCAATGTACAAAACATTATTTTTTCATGAAATCTTAATTTCATCACTTAAAAATCTGTGTGAGCATTACATAACTAGTATTATTATCTGTATGTACAAAAAATTTATGAAATTTTATATAAAACTACTTTCAGGGTATATGTTATTTATATATAAATATATGTAGGGTATATGTATAAGCTGTGTTATGAAATCTAAAGGGATATTGTGTTTATGCTTAGGTTCCATTCCCAAACTGACCCATTCTATAGATGCTATATACAAATTAAATAGCCTGTATTCCAAAATCCAATAAAAATCTGAAAACTGAAGCACTTCCGGTTCCAAGAATTTCGGATAAAAGGTTCTTAGCCTGTAATAGTGACATTATCTAGAATTTTTATTAGATGAAACATTGTCACTTATTATTTTCTTTCATTATAATTTCGGTGATAACGATACACACAAAAAACACAGAACAATAAATTAGAAAACAATTAACAAGACAATATACAAGGAATGGAGGTGGGTCAAATACGGTATAGCCAAACGAAGTAAGATCAGTTCGAATATTAATCAGCTTAGTATCAACTTATTAATCGACGATTGAAGTCCTTAATCGTGGACTATTTAAGGCTATGAGCCAGTCCATATGAGCTGAAGGGGTGCTAGCTACTCTACAACACTTTGATCGGGAGGTGTTAAAGAGTGTAGAACCGCCTCTTAATTGCTGCTGTTCTCAGGTCCACCCTGATCCAGGGTTGTAGCGTCTGTTAGGGTCCCTGCTAAAAGTACCAGTAATTATTTCTTTAAATTAAAATTATCAGCTATACATTTTTGTAAATGAAATTACTAATGAAATTACTTATATTACTTATTTTTAATGAAACTACTTATATTACTAATTCTCCCATGAAAATAAAATTTCGACATTCAGACATTGGATCTCAAGAAGTAATCGATTTTTTTATTCATCCGACATATTTTTCATGCTTTCATATTTGAGTAGCCCCTCCATTAAAGTTCTTAGCAGTAGTTCGTCTTTTTTCTTTAATAAGATTTCTCGAATATTTAGGTCGGTAGACAAAAATAAGATACTGTTTTAAAAATAACGTTTAAAGTGAGATATATATATATATATCATAAATAAACAATTTATACAAAGAATAAAATAGCAAAGTTAATATGATTAATGGCAAAATCACTTCGCTAACAGGATTCAATGAGACATTAACTTACTATCAATTCCTTGAATAATAAGAGCCTTATATTCGAGTTGTTGCCAGATGGAAGAGACATGCCAATTATATTTCGACTTTTTCAAATTGTCATCTTCAGGTGCAATTTTCCCATACATAGGAAAACATTAAGAGGAAATATGTTAAGAATATTCAATTTAATTTGTTGTTATTAATGCTTTATCACTTGATATTGAACATTTCAACAAAAATGGCAGGGAGAGGCCTGTGCATGCCTGCGAGCCCTGGGCTCTTAGAGCAAGGCTCCAGAGAACGAGCCACGAATTGGATGTAGAATTTTTGAGCAACCCTTTGGAATCGTATACAAGAACTGCATAAGAAATGAAAAGTTAGGAAAGGTATCAGAGAGCACGTTGGCTAGTATGAAGAGCTTCTAGCTACAGTGCTTAAAAGGATGAAATGACATGGTATGGTCACGTGATAAGGTCAGACGGGCACTTCAAGACCATCGGTCAGGGAACAACGCAAAGGAAAAGGAAGCCAGACAGCGAAAGAAGTGGGCAGATATCTTCTTGTTCCGTGTTCCTTCAGGACGTGGTCGATCATGGCTCACCACAACGTCCTATTCTTTATGCCTCTTAGAAACGTCTGACTACTTACCATCATCCGCTCTGCCAGCCATTCACACAAGCTCGATGGCCCGCTGCTTCCGCCTGTTACTTTTACCTTGGATATGCCCTGTGAGTTTCAGATTTTCGAAGCCCTCTTTCCTCATGTTGCCCCCCGCCACAAATTCTAGCTATCTCTTTATGATTCTAAGTAAAAGTTGTGCTTTCTGTTTCCATTTGCCCATAAAACTTCACCGGTGCTTATATGCTTCGTCCACAGTTATTCTCAACATCCTACTGTAGAGTAGCAGCATCAAATCGAAACCTGGGCATTATTCCCTCCTCCGCCTGTAAGGAATTCAGTCTGCGATACATTTAATAGTGCAGCGATTACCTAACAATCATGACTTGTCACAGGATCTGTGTGTGTGGACGAGGGGAATAAGTGTGGACTAACGGTAAACCGAGTGAAAAATAGTAACGACCCGACACGCAAGACGATAGTGACCCGCCAGTGGCAGCCACCGGCGGGTCAACGGTGGGCCACTAGCGGCCTGCCAGTGGTAACACTGCCGAGACGAACACTCCGACAGCGGGCCAACATCGGTAAACGCTAGTGGCATGCCACCCAGTGTAGGCGAGTTCAATCCCCGGCGGAGAGAGTATCTTTACTTCCCACTAATAGTCTTAGAAAAGGTGAAGAAAAAAAAACATGTCCTCTTTCTGCACCATGGTTTAAATACCAGTATAAACTGCTTTCTTGCGCTTGATTAGCATCCAGTCAAGGAGAAGTGAATTCTGAATTCAAAACTCTAGGGAAGACGACATGAAACCATCCAACTCTTTTTTCCCTAGAACAATTTTGGCAAAGTGGTGTCTAAGTTTGTGTGGGCAAAGAGGGACAACTAGAAAGAAGTGCCCGCATTAGCTCTCTGCATTTTTATTCAATAATACATCAAAACAGCGCACACCACAGACAAAAATACACACACTGATATGTGTTGATTCTTGCATTTGATAAATACGCAAATATGTAATAAGTATATTACATGTGTAATTTCTCCCCCACCCCGCCCAAAAAAAATGAAAAACAGAAAAAAAAGAATGATTATGCTCTTAACTTTTCATATATAAAACAGACACGTCAAAATTTACATAAATAGACATTAAGTGTGTAAAAATAAAACAAATAAAACTAAATAATCCCCACTCCTTCTTTTTTGACGCTTTCTTCCTTTCCTATTTTTTTTTTTTTTTTTTTTGTCTTTAATTTCACTGGGGCGAAACCTCGTGTTCATTAAGGCAGAATAAGTGTCCTGACATACATCGTTGTTGAATATGTAGGGATTTTTAAATACAAGATTTAATCAAGTTATTTGTGCAGAAAAAGATCCTTGACATTTTACTCAGTAAAAACATGAATAAATAAAAAATTACCACATATATATATATATATATATATATATATATATATATATATATATATATATATATAGAGAGAGAGAGAGAGAGAGAGAGAGATAGATAGATAGATAGATAGATAGATAGATAGATAGATAGATAGATATAGATAAAGATATATATACGTTTTCATCGTACCGAATTATATTTTCATATCTTTATTTTTTATAAAAGGAACTTTTCTCCCAAGTGCATAAAAACATTTATATTTGCAAAAGAAACGCTAAATTTAGACATCGAAAATTCTATTAATGTTTCAGCGTCTGTACAATCAAGTGACTGTATTTTTTGTGTCAAGTTTCTAGTTTCTTCTTCTTCTTTTTCTTCTTTTTCTTTTTCTTCTTTTTCTTTTTCTTCTTTTTCTTCTTCTTTTTCTTCTTCGTACCGTGTACTTTCAGGACGTATGCAATCATGGCTCTCCACAACCTTCTACATCCTGTAGCACTAAGCAACGTTTGTTCCTGTGCCAATTTCCCCGCTCCCCACCACCGTTCTATCATCTAGTTCATACAAGATTGTTTTTTATTTGTCCTGCTGACCACTTGTCTCTCTTGCCCTGTGTGCGTCAAATTCTCCAAGCCTCCTTCATTATACGTCCAAGAGATTTAAGCTGACTCTTTCTGATATTGAGTAGATGTGTTCTTTTGCTTCCAATTTTTTTAAGAAGCGCTCTGTCCGTAGCATTCTCACCATCCATCTGTAGAAGCACATTTTTGAAAGTCTCTTCTTCATCTACGAGGAGATTTCCCAGCATTCACAGTCATATAGAAGATTTGATATTACTTTAAAGTTCAGCAGTCTTACGTTTGCTTAGTTTCCAGTTACTTAATACTTACGCTAATTTAATGTGAGGCTAAAAAATATTGAAGTGTTCATCTATAACTGGAAAGGATGTCCCGGGTACGGCGGCAGCGGGGGTGCTGGGGGGTCGCATCCATCACTTAAAACGCGCATCAATCATCGACATTAGTAAAGGATATCAACATTGTTCTGTGTTGTTCTGGCTATTTTAAGATGATTGTTTATTAAGCGGGGCTTAGTTTTAGAACAAGGCACATGGTGAAGATACAACTCGTTAGGAGAAATCTGCAAGGAAAGCGTGTAGGTAAATAAACACGGATTAAGCGTCCTAGGAATTTATTTTTATACATAGTTATGGAAGTAGCTAGACACAGATAGATAGATAGATAGATAGATAGATAGATAGATAGATAGATAGATAGATAGATAACAAAGTGAGATAGATAATGAACATAGATATTGTGAAATATCTAGATAGAGATGAATAATATTGTGAGATAGATAATGAACAGAGACAGATTGATAGATATATAATTAACAAAGTGAGGGAGATAGATAGATAGATAGTGAACAGAGATAGATAATGAACACAGACAGATAGATAGATAGATAGATAGATAGATAGATAGATAGATAGATAGATAGATAGATAGATAGATATTGTAAAATATCTAGATAGATATGAATACATTGCGAGATATATGAATATATTGTGAGATAGATAATGAATAGAGTGAGATAGATAGATAGATAGATAGATAGATAGATAGATAGATAGTAATCATTGTTCTTTTTTACATTCTCAGAACGTCAGTACAAATCCCATATTGTATGGATGGTTTCTTTCAATTCTTCTTCTTCTTCTTCTTCTTCTTCTTCTTCTTCTTCTTCTTCTTCTTCTTCTTCTTCTTCTTCTGTTCGCATTCAGTAATGTCGACACCATTTCATGGAATGTGCATTGTTTACACCGGACCGAACCGTGCCTGGAACCTGTTCGCTTAATTCAAAATCAGACACCATGGATGATTTCATAGTTCCGTTTGTATTTGACTTTTCAACAAGTTAGTCCGACGCGATAACTTTGTAGTAAATTCTGGCATCAGTCACTGAGACAGAATTCGACTTCAATAGTCTATCCCTCGACCCGTCTACTTGTTACGAAACCGCGCGCGAAAATACCATTTATTATAAGCAACAAAGACACATTACAATACATTACACGGCGAAAAAGAACGGCACGGCAGTGTTAAAAGTGGTTGTTGATGTATGAAAATAGATTTAAATATTAAGACAAATTCAGTCGACTAAAATAAGAATCTAGTGGAGGTAGCGTAAAAAGTGAATTTGCTGCCTAAATAGACAATATATATATATATATATATATATATATATATATATATATATATATATATATATATATATATATGTTCAGGAACGATGGCAATTTACAATCGCCTGATGAGATGCATTGATATGCATTGTAACACGATTGCAATTGTGTAGCGATTTTTATGCTGCCGGTGTTAATACGCAATATATATATATATATATATATATATATATATATATATATATATATATTGCGTGTTAACGCACAGAATATATTAGTCATTGAAAAAGAAGATATATGGCATTTAGCCTGATGAGGAACAAATGCAGATGGCTAAGTGTCCATTGTCAATGGATTATGAGGCCAAAGCGCTAACAACTGCGCTAGTGTAAATGAACATAAATGGATACACACAGACATACACACGCACGCACACAAACAATAACTAAAATACTAAGGAACTTTGGATTATTTACCTAACCAGTTCCTTCCTATTTTCTATATATTTTCACACACACACACACACACACACACACACACACACACACACATATATATATATATATATATATATATATATATATATATATATATATATATATAATTGAGGGAAAACTTACATATTTGATACTAGAAGATTATGTTTGCATATGAGTGCACGTATATATAAAAAAATCCAGGGACCAATATATATAAGCGAATCAAAAAATAGATATTTAAAAACCGAGATAGATAGATAGATAGATAGATAGATAGATAGATAGATAGATAGATAGATAGATAATAATGAACATAGATAGATAGATAGATAGTGAACGTGGTCGTGCATATCTTCACACGATATTCATTACCGCTTGGAAATTGACATTACTTTGTCACACTAACAAAAACACCAGCAAAGAACATAAAAATATAATAACGCTTACATAGTTTTATTTTCAAATTTGTGAAAACAGCGTTTCCCATAATAAACACGACTCTCTACACCGCAGCTATTAACGGCCATCTCCCTAACCCAAATATATATATATATATATATATATATATATATATATATATATATATATATAATTGAAGCTAATTATTTATAACTTATGCAAATAATTTGTATCTGTCCGCATCGTGTTTTTACACCACTCGTAACTTATCGCTTTCAATTGAGATCGCTATCCACTTCTGTACTCTTTGCTGTTATTTCGCTGCGTTTAAAAAACAGACTTCTCTGATGGCTTTCGCTAGAGACCAAGTGACAACAAGTCTCTCTCCATAGAAAGGCTGTCTGCGGCCCATCCCATGCGAAGTAAAAAATCAATCAATGTTAGGTTACAACTACCTCCTTCCTTTGTTTGTATAATACTTACTAATTATCACAACAGTACTTACCTCACAGTCTTAGCTACAAATCAAGTGACAGCAAGCGGTTGTCATACCGTTTCGTATCTCCTTTGTATTTCGGCAGATTTTAGAAAATACCGCCGACAGGATCCTCTTCGATTCTGCCACAGAATTCCAATGCTTACGTCTACTTTCCAAAGCTCTTGAGAACTATGCCGAGTGTGCTGTGTGAAACAGGCACTACCGTCACCTTCTACTTGTTTTGTTCTATGCACGGAATGTCTTAATAATTCCCTGTTTATCAGTTTCGAAATTGCACTGTGGAAATGAGACATACCCTATCCTGGCAATTCTCTTTTTTCTTGTTCCTCAAATTATAAAGAAAAAGAAGGCTGGACTGTGTTGTAAATATCAATTCTCCTAAATGTCAGTAAATGGTGGACATTTTTTTTTCACATGGAAGAGGATAATTAATGTAAGACACGTGGTTCTACAGAAGGATGCTGAGAATATCATGGATGGATCATGTGCGCAACGAGCATGTCTTAAGAAAAATAGAAAAGAAATGGACACTTATAAGTAGAATTCGAAAGAGACACTTGAAATCTCAGGGACACATAATGAGGAAAGAGGGCTTGGAGAATTTGACACACACAAAACATTGAAATCATTTTGGGAGGGTAACAACGAGTAACCTTTCTTGGGAATATGGGCAGCAAAAAGGGGGGCAAAGCTCGACAGAAACACGACAAAGATTGCTTAGAGCTACAAAAGACAGGAAGTTGTGGAGAGCCATGATCAACATGGGCTATTTCAATCAGCCGATCAACAAGAATGTGTAAATGGATGGCAGAACAGGGATTAAGAGGAATATTAAGGGACAAACATTGGAAGCTGTGGAGAGACATGATCACCGACGCCCTGAAGAGACATAACACATAAAACAAACAATCCTATCATTATTATTATTGAAATTAAGTGACTTCTACCCTAGTTAAGCGTTCAGGTTGTGTAACAAGTGAGGGTCGGGCGAAAAGAGAATGCGAATGTGCGTCGTGGAGCTGGGAATAGGTGCCTGCACATGTCTCTGTTTGCCTGTTATCAAACAACATTTTTTTCTTTTGTTTTACGTCAATGAAATACACGTTTATATCAACTTCCGACTCACGCATGCCTGTACACAGGTTGAGAGAAAATAGTTACTGAATATGGGCTTCAGCAACCAAGTATAGAGGCACCGTGTACACATACGCAGATTCAAATGGACACTGAACAGGTCACATAAATAGGGAGAGATTTTGTCAGAATTGATGGAAATACGAACAGATTATCTCTTTCTTTCTCCCTTTATCTATCTATCTATCTATCTATCTATCTATCTATCTCACTGTGTTCTATCTAGCGCACTAGATGTCTATTCATGTCTGTCTGTCTATCTGTCAATCTATCTCAAAATATATTCATGTCTATCTATCTATCTATCTATCTATCTATCTATCTATCTATCGCATAGTATATTTATGTCTATCTGTCAATCTATCTCAAAATAAATTCATGTCTATATATCCATCTATCTATCTATCTATCTATCTATCTCATAGTATATTCATATCTATCTATCTATCTATCTCATGATATATTGATATCAATTTCTCTATCTCACACTGTCGGTATCTATCTGTCTATCTATCTATGTAGCTAGCTAGCTATGTTCATATCTATTTTATTCTGTTCCTATCTATTTGTTCAGATTCATATGTGTGTATGTCTTTATGTTTGTGTGTGATAGAGAAAGATTCCGTCTGTCAGTCTCTTGTTATCTATCTATCTACATCAGTATTTTCATAGCTATCTCGCTGTCTGCTTGTCACTTTTTGTCTAGATTTTGTCTATCCTTGTTCAGATTTTTCTAGTATCTAGTATCTATCTATCTATCTATCTATCTATCTATCTATCTATCTATCTATGCCAGTTTCGTTATGTCTATTTCATTACTTTATGTATATACATATCTTTTCATTAGTTTAATTCAGAAAAAAATATCTTTGAAGACGGAAAGTTTTTTATACTAGGCGCTGGCGAAAAAAATCGGAGAATCTGAACTGCACCGGCCAACCGGAGAGATAAGACAAAAGTTTGTGAGGTTGCTTTGTGTATATATATATATATATATATATATATATATATATATATATATATATATATATATACAAACGGGCTATTTCAATCAGCCGATCAACATTAAAATCTAAAGCTTGTGTGTTTTAACAGTGACACGGAGATTTGAAGTTGCCCTATAAATGCGTAAGATGACTTTCAAAAGCAAAGCATAATATTAAGAAACAGGAAAATTTGGCTAAAACAAAGACACATGGCCCAGTGGATAAAGACGTTGATTAGATCCAGGGGCTAGACCCAAAGAGTTGTGAGTTCAATACGAGGCCACAGTAGCGGTGAACCAAAACTTGTGTAGTTGAGTTAAAGGCAAATATCTGAGACATCCG